AGAAGTACAAAAAATGATGAGAACAAAAGTGACTATGCCTGAAGGAGTTGGTGAAACCTTCCCGGCAATGATAGTATTTGATTTGTTTTGAATGCTGAGTAGTTGCAGGCTGTCTTATCCAATGCCCTGAATATTTGAGGAAGGTACCCCCTCTCTCATCCTCTGCTCTTTGGCTCACTTTCTAGGTGTGATGTCTAAGATCATGGGATTTGAACAAAAGTGGATGTTATGGTTTATATTTAGATCCCCCCAAAAGCCCTATGTGATCAGGCAGAGCGTTGGCAAGACCATTGGATCATGGGGACAGTAGAATTGGCTTGGTGTTAGGGATCAGGGTCTGGTCTGAAGGGGAAGGTCACTTTGGGCATGACCAGGAAGGGATTATCTCCCTCCCTGGCTGCACTCTTCACTCTCTGCACATCTTTCCCTTAGCAATGCCCCTCTACGATATGCTATCCTGCCTTGGAGCCAGTAGACCATGGACAAAAACTGTGAGCCAACATAAACCACTCCTTACTTTATTGTTGTTGGGTATTAAGTCCCAGTGAGGGTAGAGGAAAGGTAAGAAGGGAAAAGAAAAAAATAGGAGAAGATGAAAAAATGGAAATGAAGTGTTTGTATATGGGGATGGGAGGAGGGGTGAAGAGAGGGCAGGGACAGGAGGAAAAAATGAGAACCAAGACCTGTCATGTAAAGGTGCAAGATCCCAATGATGAATGTAACTGTACTGTATACCTAAAATGTACCAATAAACTCAATGAGGAAAAAAAAGTCCCAGCGATGATGAAAGTGACTAAGACCCTGGGCATAGAGTCAGTCCTGACTCGGCATACTAAGTTGCCTTACTGCCAAATTGGGTAAGTTACTTAATTTTTCTGAGCCTTAATTTCTGATCTTGTGAAGCAGAGAATGTTTAGGAGTTTTAAATGAGATAAGTCATGTGAAACGTAACTTATGCGTATGTAGCATATTATAAGAGATAAATTCTTGTTATCATGTGGTAACCTGCTGGTTGACTGTGTGTGTAGGGGGCATGTTGGGGATTGAACTCAGGACCTGCTGCCTGCTAGGTAAACACTCTACCACTCAGTTAAACCTCCATCTGGTAGGCAACTGTGAACAAAGGAACCTAAGGACACGTTCCGGGAAATGACATAAATGGTTGGTAAAAGAGCATTCATTTCAGGTAAAGTCTTTGGGAACTAAATCCTCTCACACATTGGTGTATTTTGGAGACTAAAAAGACCACCCTGACACATAGAAAGGGGTGTAATGAGGGTGGAGTTCAGTGAAGTAAGGATGACTTTAAGGGGTATCAATGCGTCTCTCACTGAATCCACATCTGTATCACGGTGCTAGTTTGTAAGCTTATTTAGAATGCGGGAGAGATTGTAATAGTTGTAATACTTTGGGTTCTGGAGCTTCAGGGTCCTTATGCATGCTAGTAAGGAAGTCTCATTGATATTATTAATAACAGCAACTAACACTTTTACCAAGTACATGCTATATACCAGGGACAGTATTAGCACATTAAGAGTGTAGTTGTTTGGTTAACCGAGATAGGTTGAGAGAGCCTGGTAACAGGAAGATAAAGTTTATCTATCTGGCTGGGTCCTGTTCACCACAATGGACTCAAATTGAATCAGTTGCTCTGATTGGGTAGAAGAGTTCTCTCTTCTCTTATTCCTCCAGAGGCTTCGTACTTGAGTAAAGAAAGTGATCTTCCTGGGTAGATAAAAAGTGTTCTTAGGGTAAAAGCATACAATGACTTGAGCTCCTCTACTGGGTTACCCCAAGAAGAATCAAAGTTTCAAAGCTGGCAATGAAGGATGAGACAATTTTATGCTGCTTGTTGGATGGAATGAGCTTAGTGTAGAAGGGAAAAGGGGTGTGCAATATGAATTTAGGGAGCTCTGAATAGTTTGGAGTGGGATCATTTAAAGTGTCTGGTGGAGCTGAGATGGAACGGCGAATTGGGTGGGTAGACTGGGCTGGTGTGAAAGACCTTGAAGTTTGGATTTTGCTGTGTTGGTTATGAGAAGCCAAGTAAAATTTAAAATAGGAGCGTGCCGTGACTAGGCCCGAGTTTCAGTGAGGTAATTGTTTGCAGCTGTGTGAAGCATGTTCTTGGCGTCTAGAAGACCATATGGAAGCTGTTAACAATAGCCAGGAAAATGATGTTTCTACATTCACCCCGCTTTGTTTTCAAAGTTATGTAAGCTTCTTGTAGAAAAAAAAGTATATATAATAAATGAAGAGAGTGAAATAAGCCTATCCCCAGAAGTAATGGCCGTTAACTATTTTGATATGCTTCATCCCAATCATTTTTCTCAAGTTGAGATTGCACTGTAAAGCTAATTAATATCCTGATTTTAACATGTATTTCCCCATGTCAATTTTTAAAAATTCATGATAAATACAACTTTGATATCTGCATAATATTTTATGTAGTTTCTCCATACTAAGTTTGAAGTGGTTCAGAGCAGCCCCTGATATGAATCTTTCTCTGGGATTTTTCAAACTAAAATTGGGAAAAGCAACTCACTCCCTTTTTGGAGGAAATCGGCATATTTTTTGGTAGATGAAATGCTATTTGTAGTTAGAGAACATGAAGCACACGCTCATCAATGCAAAGAGTTGTGTCCTGGTTCTGGTTGTCCCCAAACCTTGTCTGTGTCTTTTGTGACATCGTTGAGCTCTTCCTTTGATTATATGAGATATCCTAGTATTCCCATAATAAAAATGAGAAAAATGACATCTTTTTATCTAAGTTAATTCAGGTTGAAGTTTGGAATTTACAACAACAGAGTTTTACACACTAGAGAGTGAAGCCTTGGGAAAAGGGAGAAAAGTCAATGACTTGGGTGACTGATGATTTGCTGATCCTATTAACCACAGTTACGGGTTCAGGGGAGGATAAACCAGGCCTACAGGGTGTGGTGCGTTTGCAGAATCATCCAGCAGACAGCTGGAATGTGTGGGGTCCATTGGACTTGGCAGTTAGGTAGAACATGGTGTCAGTGTTGATGGTGCTTACTTCATGCCTGCAGGAAAAACATAAAAACATCTTATGATCTGTGCATCATGCAAAAGCTAATAAAAACTCTTCTCAAGCTTTTCTAAGGTTACATACTTTCCATACAATTTTCTCTCATAAAAGGCAACTCTAACTAGAGTTGGATAGCATTTTCCAGAAATTCAAGTGAATAACTTCTAAGCTAACTCCTCTGGTATTGCTCAACATTCAGTTCTTACAGACATTTCTTGGGAATTCATTAGAGCTACATTGTAAGAGAGGGAACTAGCTTTCCCTTGTTATTGCCACAGCTAAGGAGGAGTCACTTGTTTGTAATAAAACCACAATATAACCCAGAGCAACTTCAGGAGTCACTTTCTCTCTGTCTCTGTCTCTCTTGCGGTCTCTTTCACACACACACACACACACACACACACACACACACACACACACAACCTGTCTTATTAGATTGTTAGCAAAAATACATATTCCATGCTCAAATACTATGATGCCTTATTTGCAGTTGTTTTCTCATGTTCCCTAATAAAGATTTTCTTCCTTGCCTATACTGGACTGCAGGATAGTTGATAATTACAAAGCACAGAATGAAGATTTTTAGATTGATGTCGATTTATGTTGATGTCTCCAGAATCATTGTAACTATGTACAATTTAGGTAAAATGAAGTTCAGCAAGTGAAATCATGGTTTAGAGCTGGTGTCATCTCATCCCCTCTATCCAGGCCCCTGGCCAGGCCCACCAATACTTCACGGGAGAAGACCTTGCCACTTAAATGCTCAAGGACAGCCTGCATCTTAGTCTCACTGAAACACAAGAAAATTTTACTTCACCCTAAATATCTATATTTGGACTTTATTTATTTATTTTTTTTTTTTGGTACTGGGGTTTGAACTCTGGTCCTTGCGCTTGCAAGGCAGGCCTCCAAACCGCTGAGCTAAATCCCCGGCCCCTGGACTTTAATTTTGACTTTAAAGGGAAAAATTACTTGTATTGCAGTAAAATCTTTTTCTTCCTTTAGGGAAAGGGGAGGTGGGTGAGAAGAGAAGGTAATTTCTGCAGGAACTGGAAGAAAAGGATCCTCCCCACGTACTTACTTCTGCCCCTTCCTTTCCTCCTCACTCCCCAACTGCTGGAGCCTCTTCCCAGAAAAATCAGCCCGGAGCCTCTCAGCTTGAAGAGGGCAGACGCCATGGGGGCTGGGAGCCACTGGATTGGGAAATGTGACCTTGGCACTCCAGAAGCACTTCAAGCCTCTTACGAGAGAAATGCAGTGAGTGGTTCCTTCTTCAGGATTGTATCTCAGTTCAATTATGAATTAAACATATTTGTTCTAGGAAACTGATCATTATGTACTTTCTCTTGCTATGGGGAAAAAATGCCAAACAACCAACTAATGAACACATTTTTGGAACAAAGTCTCTTTATAATTTGTTACTAACTTGTAAATTGATAGTCACATTTATTCCAAGTTACGACAATACATATTTGATTTTTAGGGTATACACACATACCCATTTACGTGAATCAAGAACAGCTGAAACACGTTTTTAGAACAAAGTTCATTAAATTCATCTAAGTGAAATAAATTCCCTTATGGAGTTTATTATTAAATAATGGGAAAACCAATTTTTCTATCTGTTTCTCTATTGAATATACCTATATATTCAGTACATTTGCCAAAGTAGCTTCCTTTTATATGGATAAAACCAAGCAACACTGAAGACAGAGCATGGATACGAGAAGAGGGAATGACTACCATTTTCACTAGTAGTGCACCTCAGCTTTGACAATGAAAACATTAGGTATTTCTTGAAGATTATTCAAAAGGTAATGCTCAAAATGGGTTTTGTAAATCATTTATTATGATTGAAAGGGAAGAAAATGATAGGAGACAAATATTACAGTTAGACATGAAACATTATTCTTTTGTAACCATCATAATAACATACTTCAAAATTTTTAAATGCCTATATAAGTAATTTCCCAGAAAATAAAATTTTCACATCATTAGATACAGAAAATTGATTTGTTTCCATCAAAATATTTTATCTCTGCTCTATCAAAAATAAATGTCAAGTCTAAGATACTGCAGTTTAACTTAAGCCTTCACTGCTCATTCTTAAATTAGAAGACTTGGGGTGGGTGGGAACTTACCAGATGGCAGATGGGAGCTTACCACCTGAGGACAAAGTTCTGAACATAAGTAATCTGCCAAAGCCTCTGGCTCACCAGCTATTGATCAGTAAATGGTTTTCTGGGAGCCCAGAAACACTACTGTATCCCAGCCAAAAGACTCTGGAGAATCATCCCAAATTGGTAATCAGCTTATTCTAAAGAACTAACTTACTTACTCATGAGTGGTTGTGGCTCAAAAGATGCAGTGGGAAACAGTTAATGGAAATTTATTTCTATGGGTCTTTAAAAAACAATTTATTTTTCTGGTACCAGGGATCGAACTTGGAATCTTGTGTTTGCAAGGCAGGTGCCAAAACCACTGAGCTAAATCCCTGGCCCTTAAAAACCTTTTTTGATTAATTATAAGGCACGATATTACTTGAACACCATATTTCTTGGCTCTTGTCTTTGTTCTAGGATAGAACATTTTGAAAGGCTGTGAAAACAGTACATTGCCATAGGGAGAAAGCAGCAAAGAGGAAAATATGGAGGCCCTGCCAAAAAATTAATTCAGCAGCTAACGTTTTTTTAACTGTTTAAAAAATATGACACAAAAAGTGATAAATATGTCCAAAAAATAAATACAAACATTCTACACATAAATAAAGTTAATCATACTCATGATTACTATTACAGTTAAACATTTCTATTATAGAATTTTCATATTTTATCACAGTTTCAATTTTTATCATGAATACTAATGGTACTGTTTTGACACATACTGGGGTGCACTGGCCATTTATATGACTGGGTGTAGTAATACATTTAAATACTCTTCCAATTAAAATTTTACCTCCTTTGACAGAAGAATTATTTTCTTTTGAAACATTTTTTTGGGGGGCATTTATTTTCAAGCTAAAGAAAGAACTGTTTGAGGGGCAACACTATAAAGGACCATCTTTGTTTTCAAAGACATTGTTATTTAACAAAACAAGGTCAAGACGACCTAGCATCCAACACAATGAAAACTGGGCAATATTCCAGTGAATTTGTTACAGGAGGAGTGTCAGGAGTCACTGTCTCGTTTTAAACTTTCCACCCCAGTGATCTGCAAAGGTAGCAGGTATACTTTCTAACACCACAGAGGAGGCTGTGGTTGCTAAACTCCTGTTTTCTTACATAATGATTCATAGAGCTCTTGCTCTAAAAATTTTCCCCAACACACCACTGCACAGCGGTTTCTCTCACTGTGTATCCATCCCACTCTTTCCCAAACACTCTCATTAATTAAAAGTACATTTAATTACAGTACTTATATTTTTGGCAGTGAGCTTTTCCAAATAACCAACTGGTTAACAAATAAGTGCTTGGAATCTCCTTTTCTTAAGATTGTCAGAATATTTAAAAGAAAAAAAGCCATCTTTCACTGATGTTTCTGATGGCTAGAGAGAAGGGAGATGGGGAAAATGACAAATTTTAACCTATTTAATCTAAGAGAAAATGAGGACGTTGGCAAACTTTGTGTTTGTTCTACTGTCGCTTGACTATTTAAGAATCACATAAGAGGTAGCAACCCCGGTAATTGCTAAAGTCTAGAACACTGGCATGTGGTGCTGTGTGACTGTCAACCATCGTGCCACAGCTGATGCAGCCACTACAGGGGACAGAGAGTGATGTCCAGGCTCCTGGGCTTTCAGAGTAAGGTGGGGCCTTTGGTGGGTCTGCTGCTTAACAGCAGGGGCTGGCTTCCAGTTACCCTGGCTTGGGGTCCCTGGGCCTTGATGGAAAGCAGTGCTGGAGCAGAGAGGTGGTGAAACGCTGCCTTTTGTTGTTGAAAGTTGTTGATGTAACTGGCAATCAAAAGAGTGATTTCAAGAATCTAAAAACAAGAAAAATAGAATTGTTATGCTCCTGAGAAGTTCTCACCATTTCCAAGAGAGCAAAGGGTTGGCCATGGGTGATTTCCATGTACAAGTGCCTAACCGACCAGAATCCATTTCTTGCTCAAAGTGAAGTTCTTCTGTACCTGTACCATCAAAGCATAGCCACATTTTTACCACTACTTAAATCACCAGGAACAGTGAATCTCAGAAAATAATCAAGTTTAGTGGCAATATTTGGAAATGGGATGGTCAATATACAACTTTATTATCTTAAAGTCATGTTTGTGAATATAATGAATTAAGAAATTCAGTGTGTTACATCAATTCTTTATTTAAACCAAAACATTGACTATCCTGTGACCTTTTGGTCATGACTAACCATCTTCAGTTACATACAGAATTCTTTAGGAAAGAGATCTAATATGTTTTTTTAAAAAACTCCAGATTCTGAAGAAATTGTCTCTTTATTTGACAATTTTGTGAAAAAGTTTTTGGAAAATCAATTCCTCACTTTTTTTTTTTACTAAAATTAGCATAGCATGCTAGAATGCAGCTCCTTTATTTGTTGCTTTTATTTAGGGACATTAAAACTTTATAATTTGTTTAAAATAAAAAAGGAACAAATGTTTTAATTATAAAACTCTGCTCTTCCTCTGAGTCTATAAAACAAACCTAAGAAGGTAAGATAATGTGTATAAAGTTATAACAATAATCCATGGCCATTTCTTTTGAACATTTTATATACCAGTCACAGGGCTGAGTTAAAATAAGTAGCATTTTTCAGATAAAGAAACCAAGGTAAAGTTAGCCAGGATTTGGATCCATGGTTGGTAAATTATAAATAACATCGCTTTTTCCATCTGGAAAAGTCTTTGCTTAATACATATTTTGATATTTAAAAAGTAGTACAAAAAAGACTCCACTCACCTTGGGTTTTGCCATGGCAAAAAGTAATTTCTCTGTTGGTTTGTCTTTTGAATGTGAATTGTTAATGACTACCATAAAATCATCTTGATAACCTCCAAAGGTCATTAGACTTTTGTATGCATAGCTGACTAATAACCTCTTCAAAGAAAAGAAAAATTAATTATGTTATATGCTCTTTACATTTAAAGAAAAATGAAAGATAATAACATCTCCATCAATATGATTATGTTAATTAGCTAGGACAAAATACAAAAGCATATTTTCTAAAAATATGTTCATCTATTATGACCTGAAATAAACAGTGATGGAGCTAATTTTATATTTCTTTGCAATTAAATTTTTTTTTTGTAGCTCTGGAGATCAAACTCAGAACCTTGAGCTTGCCAGGCAGACACAGTGCCACTGAGCTACATCCCTGGCCCTACAATTAAATTTTGATTATGAAAAAATTCACTGTTAATGCCTTTGTATATGTTCTTTCACATAGCTCTCTTTATATATCAGATTAAGCTATAGGAAACTGATACTTTTAAGGTCAAAATGGTCAAATACATATGACAAAACTGGCAAATTACATGATTCACCCTGGTAGATAGATTTTGAAATATATGAACAGAAACAGTACTTGAATACTGTTTAGTACTATATATTTTTTTAAGTTAACAGAAAGTTGTAACCATCTTTTCATGACAACAAATTCAGCTGTACAGACTTATTTTTTGGTACCAGGGATGGAACTCCAGCCCTTGCGCTTGTGAAGCAGAAGCCAGAACCACTGAGCTAAAACCCCAGCCCTAGCTGTACAGAATTTTAAATTACTTCATAGACAATCTTTTTTATTTAATCAGTCTTCTATTACAGCATATTTAAACCATTTCTACTTCTTTTCATTTGTTACTTCATAATGCACATTCTTAATTATTTCTTGTAAAATCAAACCACAAGAATTGCTTAAGGAATGAAGACAACTGGGGGAACTTTTCCCACCTCTCCTCTATAGAGGTTATATTCATATTCTCACAATCTTGCTAACACTGGGTATCAACATTCTTTTAAATCTCTACAAACTAACTGGTTAAAAGCAGAATCTGTTTTAAATCCATTTACCTAATTACTAGTGAAATTTAACAGTTTAAAATACATATATTGAATATTTGCATTTCTTCTTTTGTGAACTCTTTTGGTTCACTTCTCCATTAGTGTAGTTATCTTTTTTTTCCCCTGGTGGTGGGGATTGAACCCAGGACCTTGTACATGCACTACAACTGCACTATACCCACAATCCCAACCCCATAGTATTCTTCTTTTATTTTTCTTATGTTATAAGATATCTTTATATTAAGGATATGCAACAAATACTTTTTTGCAATGGGTTTCTAAAACCGTTTAAAATGTATAATTTAAAGTTGTGTGGCCTAAAAATAAATGCCTCTAGACATTTAATGATCAGCCTGCAGGACTAGGAAGAATGCTCTAGCCCTAGATGGCTTCAGAGCTACAGCCCCCCAGTATCTACTTCCTGTCCTGTATGTTCACCACTTTGGATCTAGGGTAACTAGTTAATTAGTGGAACTCAGTACTGTGCGTAGTTTTTTGTTGACTTCAAGTCACTTATTTTATAATGTGTCTTCAAGTTATCCACCCAAGAACTAAAAAAGTATTTGGAAAACACAAACTCTTTCAACAAATTTTTAAATTACTTACAAGGGGAAAACAGTATAAAACTAAAGGATAGTTTTATTTCCAAATGATTTTCAGTGACCTCTCACTATTGTCATGGGTAACAAGAGTGCACTATAGCTCTTTAATTAGAAACTCCTAGCCACTAAACTATAAAAAGAAGAAGAAAATATTTTCTAAATAATCTGACATGAAATAGGATAGACAATGTTAATTTCAGATAAATAAATGAATACATAAAGAGAATAGTTCAACTTAATTTGTACTTATGTGAAGAGCTCTATGTTTTGTAAATGTCTAAGGGAAGTGGCAAATTATATTATGGAAAATTATAGAAATTACGCTGCAGACGCTTTAGTGAAACTAAAACTTTGATCATTAAAGTTTCTATTTTGTGATATCTTAAATATTTTTATTTTACATAGGAAGCAATTATCCTAACACTTTAAAAATATTCACATCACCAATATAACCAAGATGGTGATTTAACCACAGGATCTTAATATTTTCACATAAACAACAGGTAATCTGTCTTACTTTACAAGATTTAATTATAATCATAGTTTTATTTATAAAATGGCATTCAATTAGATATATAAGGATAATGTTTTCTGAATTTTAGAAAAATAAGATTAAGGTATCATTACCTTATGTTTATGGTATATTGAGCAAAAGAAATAGTGAATTCAATGTAAAATTTTAGGGCTTAATCTTACCATGGAGTTGAATTCTAAGAAGCTTAAACCATTCTCATTGATAGCCAGCCACATGACAGTATTTCCAAGAGATGATGGAGTTATGGGCTATGAAGAGATAAAAATATACTGTATTATAATGCTAAACCAAATTACAGAAATATTTTTAGTCTAAATGCCAGGGAACACCATTATAAAACAGCAGCACAATCATATTATTAAAAATTATCTCTTGGGAAGGAGGCTGTTTGTTATACTGGACAGAGTATCGAATTTGATATTCAGAATCCTGACTTTGAAATACAAATCTGCCATTTAGTAATGTGTGCATTTGGACAAGGTATTTAATTCCCTTGAGGCTGAATTTCCTCATCCTTAACATGCAAACAATAATTTTTGAATTTATTTTTGTTCAGGAGGTCAATAGTTGATGCTTTTGGGGTTTCCATGATGGCCAAAATCCTAATAAAGCAAAATATACGGATGTACTTTGTATGATGTGTAGTGCTACTACAATGTAAAAGATTACTATAGAAATGTTATACTTTTTCTAAAAATTTATTAAATGTATTATTCAGTGTATAACAAAAATAGATTAAAAAGAAAATATGAAACTGTGATCTGTAGCACTAAAAAGTTTAGAAGTACTAAACTTTCTACCAAATTCTGAGCCATAGTACTGAGAAGTAGTAAACTTTCTACCAAATTCTTTATTGAAAAGCAAAGAAATTATATTAATAGTCTCCCACCACTAAAACCAATTAAAATCCATGAATATTTATGAACATTCCATAATAGCTATTTCATTCAGTTAGCAGCTGAACTTCTAAGAAAAACCATGACTCTTAAATCTTACAAAAGAATCTCAAGACAATGAGGAATTGGGATGAATTTTGTGTTATTTGCATATAGTAAAATTTATGAGAATCTCATTTAAAAAAAAAAAACCCTCTAGCTTATCATTCTATCTACTGAGTGCTGATTAGCAAATGTAGGCAGGCACTAAACAAGATGCCATTCATCACAAGTATCTATTGTCAGGGTAAATGAATAAGCAAAGTTGTGTGTGTGTGTGTGTGTAGTTGGATGCTATTCAGCCCTAAAAGGGAAGGAAATTTTGACACATTCTGCATTGTCAATGAACCTTTAAGACATTTTCCTAAGGGAAACAAATAGCCATAGGACAAATATTTGTAATTCCTCACACATGTGCTTCATAGAAGGGTGATTGATTCCCGGAAAGTTAGTGTTGAATGGATCTAGACTTTCAGGCTGGGGAGATAAAAAAGTTCTGGAGATGGATGGTGATGATGGTTGTACAGCAATGTGAATGCACAGCTGTCTACATAAATAGTTAAGATGGCAAATTTTGTTACTTGTATTTTAACACACACATCAAACAGAGGCACCATTAAGCAAAGGAAGTGTACCTTTGTTATAAATAAAAGTGCTAGTCATGCAACACAAAACATTATCATTATAATATCATAATAATAGTTTGTGCCAGCAGCTACAGGACATGGTTTCCCTATATTGCGTGGGCTGTTCTCAAATTCCTGGGTGAGCAATCCTCCTGCCTCAGCCTCTTAAGTAGATGGGTGTCACTACACTTGACTTATTCCTTATACAGTAGTTTTAAAAAAAAACATATATGCAACTCCATGCAAATATATTAATTGCATAAATGTTTAAGAAGACTAACACTATTGTCTTTCTGTTAACTTAGTATGGAGCTTCCAGTTCCAGGAGCAAAAATAATTGCTTATCTAACAATAAATCACTCATAGAATCAGAGTTAGAAGATTCCTTAGATTTGACTTTTCCAGTCCACATTGTTTATTAATAGGTGAGAACATTGAGGGCCAGGGAAAGTAACTGACTTGCCCAAAGTTGCAGGCTATTCAGCAAATGTTTGTGAAGTGATAATAATGTGCAAAAGTACTATGGTGGGTACCAGAGGAGTACTGCAGGATCACTCTGGAGCAGTCCGCAACTTATTAGTGGGGATAAAAGAAATACACAGAAAAAATACAATATAAGACAGGAAGCATCTTATGAGTTTATGAGGGGACTGGGGATGTAGCTCAGCAGTGCAGTGTGAGGCCCCAGTTTGATTCCTGGTACCAAAAAAAAAAAAGTGTCTATGAGAGTCCAAAGTAGAAAGAATAGAAAAAAGAGGAATTTTAAAAGCACAGTTTGGGGCTGGAGGTGTGGCTCTTTCCCCAGGACCTTTCCCCTGGAAAGAAAAAAGGCACAGTTTTTCTCTTGGGGAAAGGGCTGGCTACCTCTCGGCAGGGTTCATGGCTTTCCGCACTGTTTCTGCGTGTCATTCCCAAGAATATTTATCACGGAATGCTTTGTTTACAGGTGTGTCGCAACACTGGACCGTGCTAAAAGACACCATCCTGGAAATCTGGTGCAATTCATTGGAAACCAGGGGTTTATGCGTCTCTAGAAGTTAGCTCAATGCTTGCCAAACAGGACTCAGTAAATATTTATTAAATCAATGAGCCAATGAGTGAGAGTGTAGATGAGTGACTGGAAAGATGAATGAAAAGAAGAAAGCTGTGTTTAGCTGTTGTTTATGTCTCCTGAAATGATTTAGGGTGAAGAAAAGTTCAGCAGAGGGGAAAAAAAGGGAGAAACCTTGCCCTTCCCTAACATTCCTTCATTGTTTTCTTAAATGGGGGGCTTTTCTTCATTTTTATGAAGCCCAGTTTATTAACGCTGGGATAAATCTGGTCGATTATGTACACAAAGGTTTTTACTATGTGTCTCCCTCCCATTCTTTCTTACTTTTGCAAAAAACAGCTTGGCACCAAAGAATGGCCATTTCCGGGCTACTGTCAAATAAATGCGCACACAGTCAGCAGCACTGCGTCCCCGGAGGGCCATCCATCTGGTTGACAGTCGCTGGTAAAGCTGCCTAAAGAACAGAACAAAAATACAAAAGTCAAAGCATAAGAGGTGTTCATCCTCCCAAGATAAAGCTCTCCTGCACCAGTCTTAGCCTACCTGTGCTACTTCACCTCCCCACTGTTATGTCTTTCCAGAGCACTTCTACCAAATTCTCCTACTGTCATTGTTCTTAACATGACCAGCGTTCCCCAGGCAGGTACATTTTAAACACCTGAAGAGCCAACATCAAGTCCTAGTATAAATTAGTTTATAAGGTAATTTCTCCCAGGAATACTATAATTTTTAAAGAAAAGTTCAAGAAAAACAGCCCAACTGGAAAAATTTTAGGTATTACCAGTCCTGGCTTAGAGAAAGGTTGGATACAGAGAAAACTTCTCAAACTAAATTACAGAGGCAGCCACTTATACTATACAGACAAAAGACTGATCTTAAAGTTTTTATTTTGGAAAACCCATAGTAAAATGGATTCTCCTCTACTTTTAAAATCCAATCAGCATTTCTTTATATTCTCTAAACACTGAAAATGAAAATTAATTCAATTCCAATTTTATATTAAAAAGTTTCATGTAAGAAGATAGCTTATTTTTTATTTCAATTTGTTTAAAATAGAATATCCTATGAGATAAACTGTTTTTGATAAATGCTTCATAAGATTAAACATCTTATCAGTCAGTTCTTTTCATCTTTATCAGGATTAATTTGTATAAGTATGAATAAGATCAAATGAAAAGTAGATCTAAATCAAACAATTGCTTTTTTAATTAAAAAAGATTTTTAGTCAGTGCAGAACGTATATATGCTTCAAAATACAATGCCATACATGCAAATAGACTCTAAAGGTACTGGGCAAATCTAAAATAGAGATGGCTGTCACCTCTTGGGGATCATCAGTATTAAAAATTCCTGAGAAAACTGTAATTTTTTAACCTTTAAAATTAGAACAGAAAAATATTATATTAAAAAAACTATCTTGACTCTATCAAAGAGTTTTAAAAAATTCTTCCTTACCTTAACTGTTCCTCAGTACAACTGTCTCTATACCTTTTAGGATAAAATTTTTCTATGACTTGTTTTAGAGTTTGATTTGCTTTGCACTGGTTGGTAACATGCCCTGCTGGAGATGAGAAAGGTCTTTCAAAATCTCCAATCTCCACCTGATTGGAAATCCAAAAAAGAGAAAATGTAGGATAGTGAAAGAGCTTTGAAAATGAAAATCACTTTTAGTTTTTCTTTAAAAGCACATAACACATAAATCTATTTGTCATGATTATGGGGTTACAAACTTTATAATCATATGTAAGAACTGTTAAGTCTAAATTTCATTTAAATTCTAACTTTGGTGGGGGGGAAGCTATCACATATATTTCTACATTGCAATTTCTACATTAGCCTCCCTAGATTACTCTCATCATCTAGTAGTAGTTGCTGAAGGATACTATTCTACTATTTCTTGCAACACAGGATAATTTTTCATTTGAAGGTAGTATTTTAATTGCTAATAAGGTGAAATGGAAGTTAAAAATAAAAGGCAAAGAAGACAACAAAGCTGCAAGAAGTCAGGAAACAGCTGGAATTTTTAAGGGTCTCTACTGAGTGTAATGAAAGCAAGAATTATATTATCAGTTTTCTTCTTAGATTATTCTCTATAAATCTTGCTATATTCATCCACTCATTCTATTAGTCTATTATTCCTAGGATTGGAGCTCTTCATTTCCTTCTCTCCCTTGATGAAGGAATGTTCAACCCTTGTCTCTGCTTACAGGCCACAGAGATGCCATCCTTCGCCACCCATCCAACTACCCATCCATTTCTCAACCAAGTGAAGTACCTATTCCTTTATCCAAACCTGTACTTAGTTCCCATGATAAGTCAGGTGCTGTGCTAAGTGATGTGAGAGAAGAAAAAGCTGAGCACAGAACCTACCCTACAGTTTGCTAGCTAGTAGGGGAGACTGAAGCACACTTTTGATAAACTGTGTTAAAGGCCTTGAGTAGGGTACCAAAGATCGTTCCGGACGGAGTATTCACACCTTTACCTACAGCACATCCAACAAGCAGCTGGCAGGCCCCACACAGTCCGGAATGGTCTGACAGAGAATCCCAGCTCTCCATGTCCCAGGGGCCTCCTGCCTCTGGTTCAGCTGTTGCACAGGCACTGTGTCTTCTCTTTTATAGTTCTTAAGCTCTACTGTGCAAATCTCAGCTGAGCTCTGCCCTGGCAGCCTTTTTTTCATAACCTTCTAAGTTCTCCAACTCCATTTCTTATTTCTTGGTTATTTATGACTTTGCTGTCCACCTCCCATTCCTCATTTTTCCTGGTTGCTATCACTTCCCATCTCTTTCCTCATCCAGAACCCTTCCCTAATGTCCTCATACCGAATAGAAACTATCCACCAGGTCTTCACACTGAAATCCTTTCCCCAGGGAAGCTGTGCACTGTCCCTACCTGTCAGCAGGCAGCACTCACCACAGCTGCCTGTGGAACCTAGACCGGTCTTAACTTCTACAGAGCTGGACAAACACTAGTTAACAAAAGTAGTAGACCATTCACGGCAACAGTGCCTCTTCAGGAAGCCATGAGTGGTGTGTTCAAGCTCAGTGTCTTGCCTCCCTGGTGCAAGAATAAACACAGCAGATGTTTGGAGAATAACTGAAAAGCAGATAATTCCCAACATAGCCCACATGAACGAGACACCTTACCAGACCTTATACCACAATTATAGGTCAGCAGCTCTAAGAAACTCCTAAGACAGAGAACATCAACTGGGACCTACTGGTATTCAAATCTACACTAGAAATACTCATTTAGAGAGCTCAAATTTCTTTAGTATACTTCATTTATCCTCATAAAAACTGCTCTGAGGGAAGAAGATCAGAAGCATCATTTAATTTTCCTTATATAGAAAAAAATTACTTTCACTTTTTTTAAAATTTTGAGACAGAGTCTCACTAAGTTGTTCAGGCTGGCCTGGCATTTGCAATCCTCTTCCCTCAACTCTCTGAGTAGCTGAGATTTTTTCAGTCATGTGCCCAAAATTTTATTGATGTGTTGTCTTAACTGCTATGTCTCTTCCTGAAACTCATCTAAAACATTAGCAGGATATATTCCCAAAATAGTTCATAATTTTTGTTGGAGAAGCTTCTTGAAAAATTAAAAGTGAAATCCTAGTTTAAAAAAAAAAGATGCTGGGCACAGTGGCGCACACCTGTAATCCTAGAACTTGGGAGGCTGAGGCAGGAAGATCACTGTGTTTCAGCTCAGCCTGGGATACGTAGGAGTTCAAGGCCAGCTTGGACTACATAGTGAGACCCTGTCTTTCAAAAAATGCATGATTTTAATAGAGAATCTGTGCCTAGAATAACAACTGGCAGGGAATTGTTTCTAGTCCTGTGACCAAGAAAATGAGTGTCCTGTTTCTCTTTTCTTCAGCTTTTATCATGAAGTCAGGACACCAATACTTCAGTGTAAACATTAGGACATTTAACCCCCAGTCAGGATTCAGGAAAGTTTCTTGGAATACATGACTTGTACAGTAAACATTAAAGGATAAGATGAAGTTAATAGGTGAAGGGACAGGGGTAGAACATTCCAAGCAGAGGAGACAGACTAGTAGAGCATAAGAAAAACAAAATCATATGTAAGTTAGAGAATTGCACATGAACCCAGTTTATACAGATGAGCAGAAAGTTCACGGCACAGTTCAGATTAGGAATACCTGTGTTTGTAAATGAGGGACTGACCGCTAGATAGATTCACACTTCTGCTATATCTCCATCTCAGTTACTAGCTCTGTGTAAACAAATCTCTATGAATCTCCAGGACACTGGTCCTGTCTCCAGGTCTAGGCCTTAAGGAAACTGCGGGCTCCATTCTTTGTCTCTCTTTTGGGTAAGTGCTTTTACCATTCAACCACCATTCTGGGACAAACATAAGCAGTCATGTGAAGAGAGCAGAAGTCCCACGAACAGCTCGCATCCTCCAGGAGATAGGCAATTCCAGCCCTCAGCCCTGGGATCACAGCTGGCCCACCGACTGTGTAGAAGATGCCATGTGAAGCAAGGACCAGTTGCTTTCTCACATTCCTCCCCTCCCCTATTATTTGAAGAGTCATTTGTTAGGTAGCTATGGCTAACCGGAAAAACCCTCTAGCCTCTGTGTGCAAGATAAATTTGTGAAAAACAGACACTTGGCAGGACAGCAGGCAGATGTGACAAGGGTCTGAGTTCAGTGGTAATCAGCATATTTAGCAGTGAACAGGGAAGAATATTTAAGGCGTGATGGCCAGTGGGAAAGGGAACAGGGAGGGAAGAGTCAGTGGGGATCCCTGGATTTGAACTTCGGTGGGAACTGAGTGGAGATAGCATCACAAGGAAGATACAGAAGGGGAAGAGAGAGGAGGGAAGATGATTAGTGTAATTTTCAGTATTCCGAATTTAAGGAGCTCATTAAGAAAGTATGAACTGGAGACTATGGAAATCAATATGGAGATACCTCAAAGAGCTTGGACTGGAGGTTCCATTTGACCCAGCCATCCCTCTGCTGGGTATCTTTCCAAAAGAACTAAAAGAATCATATCACAGAGAAGTATGCGCACCCATGTTTATAGCGGCACAGTTTGTAATAGCTAAATCTTGGAAACAGCCCATTTGCCCATCCGTTGGAAACTGGATAAAGAAGATGTGGTTTTTCTATAAAATGGAATATTACTCAGCCATAAAGAATGAGAAAATAGATTCATTCATAGGAAAATGGATACATATTGAAGATATACTCCTAAGTGAAATAAATAAGTCACACATGTGTAAATACCGAATAGTTTCCCTGGTGTGAATAATCTGCAATAATACA